TTTCCCTTCCAGGTGGATGCTGAAGTCCTCACTCAGAGTTGTAATTTGCTTAATTTTTGTGTAAAATTTGCATAAGAAACGTGGAGGTTTCTGATTCCCACGACATAAAACGGTTCCAGCAAACACACAGGTACCCTCAAACTCAGGAGTAATTGCTTCTGAGTCATTTATAATCAAGACAAGTTACAGAAATTTGCAAATCCAGGTCAGTTAGGAGTGAGAGGAATCTAGGTGGATGCCAGCTCATTAGCTGTGTCCTGAAGAAGCAATGGCAGGTATATTCTCCATGTAGGATGACCTGTTCAGGCATAAGTTTTAGCGGTCACAAAAGTGGGGTTTGGAGGTGAGGGGAACATTAGTACAAATCAATAAAGCCTGATGTCAGTCTGGAAGGAGATCAAGGAAAACCTCATGAAAAAATTCTCTCGTTCACCCACACTATTGAGGGGTAGGGTGGGATTGGGGCCTAAACCCACCTTCTGCCAAATTTATGTCTGAGCAAATCTGTGCCCTCTGAACTGGAGCGGGACCACCAGATTATCCGAATAACCTCTGCTTTGTTACTAGCACATTGCACTATTACGTACGTGCTGAGAAAAGGCCCAGGAACGCAAATGTTGCTTCTTCGGGCATAAATGCTGGTGTACTGACACCTTCCGTGTTTATGTTATTCTGCTTCCTCCCACCCTTCCCCTTTATTTTTCTGGCCAGAGGGCTTGTGTGCTTCAGAGACAGACAGAGATGGAGGGGGAGAAATTGGTCCCAACGGGGCATGGTCACACTGCAATCCCTTCTCTTCTATTTCTCCATCTTGTTGGGATTTGAGGCTTGCATGCATACACACCTGGTGTGTTTTCTTTCTTTCTTTCTTTCTTTCTTTCTTTCTTTCTTTCTTTCTTTCTTTCGTTCTTTCTTTCTTTCTTTCTTTCTTCCTTTCTCTCTTTCTTTCTTTCTTTTTTGGAGAGGTTTTTTTACTATAGGGCACATACACTTGCAAGAAAGACAGAGACAGAGAGACAGAAAGCGAGAAATCACCCCCCAGGGGGGATGGCCACAATGTAAGCCCTTCTCCTCCATTCTCCTCTCAGGATCTTGGGCATGCACACACACATGCTTAGCATGAGTTTAAGCCACCAGGTCCAGGACTCAAACCACGGTCAACTATATGGGAGTCCAGTGACATAGCCATTATGCTAACTGCTGGTCCCCACCCTGGTGTGTTCCTCAAGTCACCAGGACTGGGACTCTGGCTACCTGGTTAACCATGTGGGATATGGTTCCCCTAGCCACCAGGCCATGGACTGGTCCTCATCCTCTTCTGCCACCTCCAATCTTGCTTACCACCCATTGCCTCTACTGTTCCATGTCTATAATTTGCCATTACCTCTAACTCCTACTAGAACAATTCTCCATTGTGCAACCCCTACTTGGAAATAAATAGTGAACATTAAAAATGTGAATGCAGGGAACCAGCAGTTAGCGTAATGGCTATGTCGCTGGACTCCCATGTAGTCGACCGCGGTTCCTGTCCCGTACCCAGTGGCTTAAAACTCACGCCGGGCGCGTGTGCGTGCGTGCCCAAGATCCCGAGAGGAGAATGGAGGAGAAGGGATTGCGGCGTGACCATCCCCCCTGGGGGGTGATTTCTCGCTTTCTGTCTCTATGTCTCTCTCTGTCTGTCTGGCGAGCGCACGTGCCCTACAGTGAAAATCTCTCAAAAAAAAAAAAAAGTGAATGCAGGGGCCAGCAGGTGGTACAGTGGTTAAAGGGCTGGACGCCCACATGGCCAAACATGGTTCAAGTCCCAGACTTGGTGGCTTGCTTTCTCACTTTCTGTCTTTCTGTGGTGAGTACATGTGCCTTATAGCAAACTTAAAAAAAAAAAATAGTTTAAAAAAAAGTGAATCCAGGGTCCAGCAAGAGGAATGGAGATTAAGGTAGCTGGATCCCACATGGCCAACTGTGTGGCTCGAGTCCCAGACCCAGCAGTTTGAAAAATATTGTGAATGTGCCTACAATACTTTTCCATATAGGCTAAATGTTAATGAGTATTGTTAGACTTGTATAGTTGTTACTGAATGTCCCAGAAGTATTTTTAAAGTTCTTGCAGAATCCAACTACTTAGTTAATGAGAGTCTGTTCATAAAGACAAAGAATCGTGTGATGAACAGCTCCTTTTAATATTACCAAAATAATACATACTTATCATAGAACACTTAGAAAATGCAGAGAAGAAAAATTAAAATTGTCCCATCACTCTGAGATAATCCTTTTCACTCAAATATAATCACCCTGCTTTGATATTTATTTTTTCTTCATTCTTTTATTTTTGCACAAATGCATTCTTTTGTTTTAGGAAAAAAAAACAGTATTATACAATATATGTTATCATAACCTGCTTTTTCCACTTGATTTTTTTGATCATCTTTGAATAGCCTTCTAGAACACACACACACACACACACACACACACGAAATGTTTTATTTTATTTCATTTTTTACTTAAAGGTTTTTGCCATAGGGCACATGTACTTGCCAGAGATAGAGACAGTGAGAGAGAAAGTAAAAAAATCACTCCTCAGAGGGATGGTCACACTGCAATCCCTTCTGTTCCATTTTCCTCCTGTGATCTTAGGCACACATGCAGATGGTCCTGGTAAGATTTTCAAGCCACAAGGTCTAGGACTTGAACCATGGCTGGCCATAGGACGTCGTTAGATATATACACTGTTCTCTCTCTCTCTCTCCCTCTCTCTCTCTCTCTCTCTCTCTCTCTATATATATATATATATATATATATATATGTGTATATATATATATTTAATATATATTTAATCTGCTATAGGGCACGTGCATTCACAGGAGAGAGACAGAGGAAAGGAGGGGGCATGAGAAATCACCCCTTAGAAGGGATGGCCACACCACAATCTCTTCTCTTCCACTCTCCTCTATGGATTTTGGGCACACCCACATGTGCCTGTGTGTTTTTCAAGCCACTGAATCCAACACTTGAACTACATAGTCAGTCACGTGCAACTCAGCTGCCTTAACCACCCCGCCATCAGCTGGCCCTAGGACATGATTTTAATGGCTGCGTAGCATTCCAATATGTTAGTATACGATCATTTATATACCTAGAAACTTATCTGAGTTGTTACCTTTTTGAGGGGAAAGAGAAGGAGAGTACTATTAAAATTGCTGTGGCAACATATCTTTGAAAAGAAATTTTTGTGTATTTGTACAACTGTCTCCTTGGAATAAATTATTACAACTGAAATGCCTACGTTGAAGGATATACTTAAAACATGTCAAGTATTTGATTCATACTATTGGCTTGAAGAGGTGGCAACTTCTACACATAGCCAAGGAAAGTGCCCATCCTTGTGAACAAGATTAATAAATTCATTTCAGCCAACCTGAATTGCCATAATCCCATTGCTTATAAAAATCATAAAAAGGGTAAACATTTTAAATCACTTCTAAATGATGTTCTGGGAGTCAGGACAACTATAATTTAATTTTACAAGTTCATAATAGAAACACAAACAGTAAGAAAATAAGAAAATCAGGCTCTGTGAGAGTATAAAATATCACCTTCTAACCCCATTATTCAATACATCTAAATTCTGGTGTCTCAGGGCTCTGAGACATTTTTGATTTCCTGGTACAGCCTGACTCTGAGTACAATGACCTCCCATCTCCACTGTTGCTATTGACCTTTAGGTGCAGGACCTGGATAGGCACCATGAGCTTAGCTGGTTTTTTTTGTCATCCCTCCTAAATCCGTGAAAAGAGGGAGACAAAATCCATGGATAGATATGCTTTACATGCTCCTAGTTTAGGATGTGGTAAAGTAGATCCCCACAATAAGAAATAAGAAATACATTGGACACCAGGAAGAAATATTGGAGAAGCTGTTCTACAATTTGCCAGTCAATCTAAACAGTGAGCATGGACTAACGAGGACCACGTGAATGAACTCACCATCAAACCTCAAGCAAGGCCTGTGCTCTGTTTATAGGCCTGTGTGTAGTTCACTTAACCTCTGAAGGAATTGTGTGGAAAAGTTAGCAAGACCTCAGCAGCTCTGTATTCACCACCCTTGCAACCTGATCCACTGACAAAGCCCCAGAGACCTGTGCACAGACCTCCTGGCTCCACCACTTACTCAGCTGGAGACCTTGGCCAAGTTGCTCAACATCTCGGAGCCTCAGTTTCTTCCCCTTTGACACAGGAATGAGATTTGTGAGGAGTAAATGTATTAACAGACACAAAGCATCCTTCAGGGCACATAGTAGATATTCTGTTGTTAATCTTTTTTTTGGAGAGGTTTTTGCTATAGGGCACGTGCGCTCGCCAGACAGACAGAGAGAGACAGACAGAGAGAAATCACCCCCCAGGGGGGATGGCCACGCCACAATCCCTTCTCCTCCATTCTCTTCTTGGGATCTTGGGCACACGCGCACACGTGCCCGGCATGAGTTTAAGTCACCAGGTCCGGGACTTGAACCGCAGTCGACTACATGGGAGTCCAACGACATAGCCATTATGCCAACTGTTGGTCCCCTGTTGTTAATCCTTTTCACAGAGTCCCTCACAGAGTCAAGAATTTTCTCCTGTGATCATCTAGGTCACTGCTGTCCAATAGAACTTTCATGGAAACATACTGTTTCTTCTCTGTCCAATATGGCAGCCACTACTCACATATGGCTATTGAGCCCTTGAGCTCTAATGTGACTGGACATCTGAATCTTCAGTTTGATTCACAGAGTGACTGACTAAAAGAATTATTTATTTAACTGTATTTATTTATCATTATTATTTTAAAATTTGCTATAAGGTATTTACCCTCACCAGAGTGAGAAAGAGAGAGAAGAGTGAGTAAGCAAGCCACCAGGTCTGGGACTCATACCACAGTGGGTCGTATAGGAGCCTAGCATTTGCTGTCCCAATTTGATTTAAATAGCTATAGGTGGTTAGTGCTACTGAGTTAATAGCACTGGATCTAGACTCCTGTTTGGCGGATCTGAGCAGACAGAAGTCAGAAGTCTACAAAGGCAAATAGATATTGCTGGGGTGAGGAAATGGGTCAAGATGATAGGAGCTGTATGATCAAAAAAAATCAGGGGGATATTCAGAGAATAAGAATAATCCTGCTTAGCCATAGGAGGAGGGGCTGGTGAGGTGATAGCAGGAGGCAGGTGACATATCTTGTCATGAGATGGTAGCAACAGCAGCAGTGTAGAGTATGAAGTGAGTTTGTTGGCTTGGAGTTTGGTAAGCCAATAATGAAATGAAAGCAAGCCACAGTGGCGGTGCTCATATCCAAATATCTCTACCTCAAGGTTAGGGAGCCTGACTATATTGGCAAGAGAAAGTTTGCACATCTTGAATGATACACAACCGTTTCCTGGAACTGTCTCCAAAATAACGGAGAGCTTTGGGTGATTCAGTGCTTTAGAAAATAGGAGAGGCATATGGAGACAACCTGGGGAGACCTGTTCCACCCAATAAAAAGATCCACTGGGAGTCCATAGCTCTGTGTTCCTAGCAGCCTATATTACTCTTGGTACCCTCGTTTTCATTCTGTGTGGAGGCTTTTTAAAGCCTCTGAGTGATACGTATGGAGAAATCAACCGCCATTTGGTTGAGTTAAACCACACCACATTTTCGGGGAAGAACAATGTTCAAAGGTTCAGCTAGGATCTTGGCCGGTGAAACTCTTCACTTCTTCCCACCTGCGAGAGTATGTTTTCCTTTGACATTTGAGCTCGTTTCCCCTGTCTCTGATGTTTTCCTCACTGCCCTTTTTGCCTCCTCACTGAAGCAAAAAGAACAGAGCCTCGGCTAATTACTCTCAGATCAAATAATACTGGTTATTGTAATTGGTCATTGTCCGAAAACACTGAGTTCTTCTTAGCCCATGGTTGCCTGGCACAGCTTAGTTAGCTAACTATTCCCGGAATGTCTCTATTATCTGTTTTGCTTTGCAAAAAGAAACTAGGGATTTGTTGAAAGCTGGTAATAAAAGTCTGCCCTGGTCTGAGCAGAGACTGCGTAGAGAGGGCCTGGGAAAGCATGACCTCCATGAATCAAGTTGCCCCCCCTGCAATAGCCACTCAATGATGTTATTTGGTTTCTGTGTGTCAGAGAATAATAAACCCACTAGGTTTTCTTGCAGGCCAACACTCCCTCTTCTCAGGGCCTGGGGCATGGCTGAGGGACACAAAACAATTTTAATGACCAAACTCACTGAAAGTAAAATGGTTCGGAGAGAAAAACTAACAGACTCACAGGGGGCTGGCTCTTCCATGGGCATCTTCCTAGGGCGTAGAGCCCCTAGATCAAGGTGCTCAGGGGCTGTTGTTTGCCACACTGAGGTCCCGGGAAATGTCTCTTCCACCCTGCTTAAAGGTAACTTCTCAAAGTGGTGCTCACCTGTTCCAGGCAATCTTAAGGTTTGGAGGCTTAGGCATCAGGAACCATTCTGGAAAGCACACAGAAAAACATTAAAAACGAAAAAAAAAAAACCTAAAATCCTGTTGCCAAAAATATTATTACAATTCTAAACGCCCTTTTGGCTTGGAGTGAAAGAGGATTCAGGTGTCAAGTAGGTTAACAAATGATTTTTACAGACTCTTCTGATTTGATTAATTAAAACTTTTTTAATTTATTAATTTTTTTTAAAAAAAGATAAAATCATACTGGGTCACAGTCCTCCTGCCTCAGTCTCCTGAGGAGAGAGAGAGCTGGAACTGCAGGTCGTGTCCCACCACACCAGCTCTTTCAGACAGGATCTTCTTACATGGCTGACCAGTTTCAAACTTGAAATCCTCCCTCTTCAGCTTCTCCGAGTCCCTCAGATTACAGGCACATGGCACCATGACCAGCCTTCAGGCTGAAATGGGAATTGAACCCCGGCCTCCCATGTGGTCCCAGCCTTCAGAGTACAGAGTCTCAGCAACGTGCACTGCTGCAGCTGGGCCGTGTGATTCCGTGGAAGGTCCTCATTATGCTTGTGTCTTCCCGAAATTCATATATTGAAGTCCTAACCCTAAATACTTCAGATCTTATATGGAAATAGGGTCACTGCAGATAGAATCAGTTAAGATGAAGTCATTGGGGTGGGTCCTAATCCATCTGACTGGCATCCCCTTGAAAGGGAGGAATTCTGACAGAGAGACAGACATGCCTCAGTGATGATGAAGGGAAGAGCCACAAAAGAACAGACGCCCATCTACAGCCAAGATCCCCCCTCCCAGCCCTTGGAAGGCATCAACCCTGCTAGACCTTAATTTCAGACTTCCTAGCCTCCAGAGAGAAAAAAATTCTGTTGTTTAAGCCACTCAGTTTGTGGTACTTTGTTATAACAACCTTAGCAAACGAATACAAAATATTCAGTAAAGTCAACATTTATTTAACATATACTGTGTATAGTCTATACCAAGTGCTTGGGAGAATACAAAAGAAATGAAAAGAAACCTCCTCACCCTTGATGGGTTGACAAGGCATTTGGGAGAACAAAATATATACACATGAGAAATCATGTGACACAAAGTCTCAAAGACTCAAAAATGGTAAAAAGTAAAGGGGATGGGGCCAGCAGGTGGCATGGAGGTTAAGGCAGTGGGATCTCAGATGGCCAGATTTGTGGTTTAAGTCCCAGACCAAGCTGCTTGAAAATCATAACAGATGCAGGTCCATATGTGCCCCAAATCTGGAGACGAGAATGGAGGAGAAGGGATTGTGGTGTGGCCAACCCTCACCAAGAGGTGATTTCTTTCTCGCTCTCTTTTTCTCTCCTTCACCCCCATCTCTGCCAAAAGCAAACAAATAAAAAAAAAATTAAGAGGGCTCATTTTTTTTATGTCACTTGTAGAAATGGAAGTGAAATTATCCAAAATGGATGAAAATAAAAAATGTAATTTTCTTGGAGCACTCTATAACAGTTTCATTTGAGTACTTCTGTTTCTATTATCTTGATCTTGGTGCTACTTAACCCAATCTAAAACCACCATGAAATCGGACAATTTCTAATTTATTCAAGAAATACTGATTGAACGTTTACTCTATGTTAAGGACCACAAGAGGAGGTACAGAGGGGCTGATCCTCCTTGTCAAATTTCTCTGCTTCTCACTCCAAATTGAGAAGAGTATTTCAACTCTCATATAAAATGGTAATTCTGCCTTATGCTTTTTTGAGGACTGAATATAATTGTTTGAGTTTTAAAAATCTCTCCTCCATGGGTCAGTAGGTGGCGTGGAGGTTAAGGTGCTGGATCCCACATGGTGAGCTTTGCAGTTAATCTCTCACTTGGTGACCTGAGAATCACACCAGATATATGTGCATGCAAATCCAAAATTTCAAGAGGAAAGTGAAGAAGGGATTTCAGTGTGGCCATCCCACCTGGGGTGGGGGGCTGATTTCTCTCTCTCTCTCTGGCAAGTGCATGAACTCTATAGCAAAAACTAAAAACAAAAACAAAAGTCTTCTTCCAGCTCCTCTATAAGTAGAGTAAACCAAGATTGTTTATCAGAACAAAAATTTTAATCATGACTGGGCAAAAAATTATTTTGATAACACTGATATATACTGTTTTGTGCATAGAAAGCCCTGGAAGCTATTTACTAGACAGTGAGAGTGAGTACAAGGATTTACTTTTTATACTTCGATGCTTTTTTTTTTTTTTTTGAGAAAAAAAAATTAACATCTTGTAATTTCAAAAGTAAGTTCAATTGAAAACTAAATTGATAGTACTAAGAGTGGCTACGAGTTGCAAAGTGAAAGGAATGATCAAAGAAAGTGATGTATGCTGCGTTTTCAAGGTCAGGTGCACCCAGATGTGATCCTCGCTGCCAGCATTCACAGTGCCAGGTGGGCACTTGTACACAGACGCTATTTACTCTCGATCACTGGTTGTCCCTAAGTTCAAAACAACCAGTAAAGATAAGCACATCTGACATTTAGTGTGTTTGTTTCCCAGTCACTTTCTGCTGTCTATTTACAATTCTTCCCCCAGCCAAACAAAATGAAAATGTTTCCTCATTCAGTCATATCCCCATTTCTCGTCAACATAATGACATCCATTTCAACCTTCTCCTATTTTCTGTTTTCTCCTCCTTAAAGCTCTATGGATTGTTTGGGGGCTTTTGGTATTTTAATACGATTTCTAACTTGAGTGCTGTCCTGTGGAACAGGGGGCAGAGTTAGCTAAATATCAGCTTCTGTTTTGCTGATATCTCAAGCAAGACACTTTCGCCAGGGCAACTCTCAGTTTCCTTAACCACAGCTGGAGGCAAATTCACCTCAGAAGGATGCCGAAGTAATTCAGTGCGATGAATTTCAAGTCCTTGCTTTGGAGCCTTAAACAAAAATAAATCCTATTTGTTTGTCCTTCTCTTTCTCGTCAGGCACTTGGACCCTGAATCCACATTAAACAACTACTAACTGTGTCGCCTAAAGAAGGTGCTCAGCCTTGCTGGGCCTCCGTTTTCTCATCTGCAGGAGGAGCATGATATAGTTCCTCTTACATAGGGCTCCAAGGATCAGGATAGTTAGTGTGATGTATTTCCTTCCTCTTTGTTTCTTTTTGGCTTCTTTTCCCTGTCTCGCGTACCATGGTTTCTCTTCTTAGGTATTTCTGTTTTACTGTCTCCTTGGAAATCTTCTATAACTGTTTCTTTCTACTGAAATCCTAACTCACTCCAAGCCACAGTTCATACAAGCTTGACTTGATTTCTTTTGAGCTCTCAGTGTGGGCCAGAGGTGTGTTTCGTGGTTGTACATTACAGTCACATGACCACAAATCCAGGCTCAAATACCCTTTCTGCTGCGTATGAGCTCTGGGACTTCAGGGGAAATAGCATAACTTCTCTAGTTCAATAACTGTGACGTTTCCAAGTCTGTAAAATAGGAATCGCCTCTCTGGTGCTGGGAGGATTGGATAAAATCAAGTACTTGGCACATACAGGTTGAGCATCCCTAATTCAAAAACGCAAAATCCAAAGTGTCCTAAAATATGAACATTTTTGAACACCAATATGGCACGACACGTGGACAATTCCACACCTAATCTCGCGTGACAGGGCACTGTCAAAACGCTGAAATACCAAAATGTTGTGTAGCCAGGCAGTTCATGCCTGTAATCTCAGCCATTTGGAAGGCTAAAATAGAGGATCATGAGTTCAAGACCTGCCTGAGCAATATAGCAAAGCCCTGTCTTTAACAACAACAACAAATGCTGTGTAAAATTACCTCTAGACTATTTGTATCGACTGTATATGAAACAAATGAATTTCATGGTTACACTTGGGTCCTATCCCCAAGATATTTCATTTTGTACTGAAAATATCCCCAAATCAGGAAATAAATCCCAAATACAAAACAGTTCTGGTCCTAAGCATTCAGATAAGAATATTAAAAATCTAAAAGGGGCTTAATAAATGTTAGTTTCTTTTTTTCTTTTTTCTTCTTTTGGTTTGTTTTTTGTTTGAAAGATTTCTGCTATAGTGCGCATACACCTGCTAGAGACAGAGACAGAAAGCAAGAAATCAATCCCTAGGGGGATGGCCATGCCACAATCTCTCCTTCTCTATTCTCCTCTCGGGATTTTGGGCACACGTGAACAAGCATCCAGCATGAGTTTGAAGCCACCAGGTCCAGGACTTGTATCAAGGTTGACTATGTGAGAGTCTAAGTGCCATAACCATTATGCCATCTGCTGATCCCTTTCCTTTCTAATATTTTTTTTTATTTGAGTTACCCAATGTACTTTTTAAAGAATTATTTTATTTTATTTATTATTCAATTTGACCAGAGAGAGACAAAGAGTGAAAGAAAGGGAGAGTAAGAAAGCAAACTGCCAGGACCAGGACCTGAACTGTGGTCAACCATGTGAGAGTCCAGCACTCTACCACCATGCATGTGCTGGCCCCACTTCTTTTTGTTTTGTTTTGTTTTGTTTTGTTTTGAGAGGTTTTTGGTATAGGGCATGTGTGCTCGCCAGAAAGACAGAGAGCGACAGAGATAGAAAGCAAGAAATCACTCCCCAGGGGGGCGCAATCCCTTCTCCTCCATTCTCCTCTCGCGGGATTTTGGGCACGCACGCACACGCGCCCAGCATGAGTTTAACCACTGGGTCTGAGACTCAACCCATGGTCAACTACATGGGAGTTCAGTGACATAGCCATTATGCTTACTGCTGATCCCCCCCTTCTTGTTTTTAACCACTCATTTTGGAGAAGTAGCATGGTCTAACATGGTAGTTCTAAAGCAGTGTTGTAAATCTGCATCACCCGGGAACTTTTAAAAAGACAGAAGCTTTGGCTCCACCCCCAAGAGCCTGATTCAACTAGTCTGGGAGGGCTCAGGCTTTGGTTGGTGTTGTGTTGTTTTTATGTCTTTAATGGTATCCAGATGTTTTTAGTAAGGAGCTAAGACAGAGGACCTCTGGTCTAGCACAGAGGGCAGGGTCTACCACTCACCAC